GCTATTCTTCCTCCCCAGAAGCAGGCCCGTAGCCAGGATTTTTTAAGTCAGGGGGCCTTTAAATTTATTAGGGGGCACTGGCTAATCAAATAACCCAGGGGAGAAGGCCGTGACGCCCTGGGCTGGATGGGAAGTAAGGGGGCCTTGCCAACAAGTCGCGGGGGGGCTAGCCCCGAGATGCCCCACTGTACCTACGGGCCTGCCCCAGGACCAGCCTGGACCCCCCTCTGGTTTCTGCCTCCTCTCTGGCTCTAGGGTCTGTGTCTCTGTCCCCACGAGCCAGCTTTGCCTTAGCTTTCCAGTGATGGGACACCCCCTCCACCCTCAGCCTCCAGCTCTACCCTTCAACAATCTTAGTACCTGCTAGGGGTGTCTCTCATCTGATGCTCCTGGCTAGAGAGGTTGGACTCTTCTTTTATCAGAGGTGTCCGGAAACGTGTCCTACTGGAGTGTGCTGCCACAGTCACAGACACGATTTTATTCAGCCCCATGGAAAAGAGACACAAAGAAAGAGAGAGAATCACAGAAACGTCTTTGCCAAGAGCCCCGAAACCATGATAAGAACATAAGAACATAAGAGAAGCCAGTGTTGGATCAGTCCAACACTCTGTCACACAGTGGCCAAAAATACCAGGTGCCATCAGGAGGTCCAGCAGTGGGGCCAGGACACTAGAAGCCCTCCCACTGTTGCCCCCCCAGCACCCCCAAGCCTTACTACTCCCCAGTACTTACAAATACTATGTATATAGTATTGTATATTGTATAAAATGAATCGTGTATAAAATAAAAAAGTGCAATACATACAACATGTGAAGATTATAAATACATTTCATAGAAAAATACCATCTTTGTTTCCAAAGCCTTAGGAACATTCATCAGTGGGAACAAAGTCCTTATACAAAAAGTTCATCAAATGGGAAGAGACTTAAGGAGAAGAAGATGCGTTTCACACTTCATTAGTGTATCCTAATTGGAAGAACGTCTGGTCCTGCTTGACATTGAGACCTGCTAACACGATGGCCAGCATGAAGCCGTGTTTCAAAGATTTTTTTTCAAAGCAGGAAAAGTTTGGGATGCAAGCAACATATTTTGCAAATTAATAGCAGCAAATCAAATGTGAGAACTTTCACTGACTCAGCACCCTTCCCACGGAAAAAAAAGAGGCATGGCTCATCAAGGGACTCGTGGGTTTGGGGACTGTTGGAGGATCTGGGTTCGAGTTCTTTGGTAATTTCCCTACGAGCTTGTATTCTCAACTCCCAACTTCCAAGGCAGGCAATCTTGTGGAGAATAGGTGATTTTATGAGGAGTTATAACTATAATTTCTTTGTATAATTTTCTTTAAAAAACAACAACTCTGAAACATGCCAAGTTGTGTTGGCTGTTATAGAAGGTAAATATAATGAGGTGCAGCATCTCAAGTTAACTCACATATGTCATTTTGGAAAGCACCTCTAAGGGTGGCAAGAGGAAATCTATGTTCGTCTCGACGTATATTTTAATGAACAGTTCTCTGAGACATCTGATTAGTGGGAAGAAATCCAGGTGGGAGAATTCCAATTCTAAGAGTGGTTACGAACATCTAGCAAGGAGTCTAGAGCAATCATCTTCACCAGTGTTCCCTCTAAGCTGAGTTAAGTGTGAGCTAGCTCACGGTTTTCAGCCTCCGGCTCACATATTTTTGTCTCGGCTCAGGGAGGATGACTCCAGAGCAAGCAAATTTCTGCAGTAGCTAAATCTCTTGCTCACAACTTTAATGGCGGTAGCTCACAAAGTAGAATTTTTGCTCACAAGACTCCACAGCTTAGCGGGAACATTGACCTGAGAGTGCACTGGGAGATGGAACAAGGATTTTGTGGACTCCACAGCTTAGCGGGAACATTGATCTTCAACCACCTGAGAGTGCACTGGGAGATGGAACAAGGATTTTGTGTCAAGAAGTGAAATTGTGCTTTTTGCGTCCCTAATGGATGATGGTTGGAATGGAAATAGGAAAAATGTATGGACTAAAGAGCAGCCTGAATAGTCCTGACTAATCTGAGCTTGTCAGAGCTTGGAAAGTTAAGCAAGGTAGGCCACGGTTAGGGCTTGGATGGGGGACCACCTAGGAAGACCATGCAGAACAATTCAGTGGCAGATCACCCCTGATCATCTCTTGCCTTGAAAACCCTATAAAGGAGCCACCATAAGTCAATTGTGACTTGGTGGCACTTAATTATTATTTATGGTCTAAAGGGGGGGGGATATGGGGATGTGGAAATGTCATCGTAATATGTGAATACTTACAGATTAATATGTGAATAGTTACAGATTAATATGTGAATACTTACAGATTAATATGTGAATACTTACAGATTAATTAATAAGCCTTTCTCTTATTTTTCCTACCCGGATATACATGGTGGGGTTTGACTCTAGGGCCAGTGGAAGATCCCAAATGCTCCATAATGTTCCCTCTGTATTCAGCTCGGGGTGGTTAGAGGAACAGTTTGCAGGGAGTTCTAGTTCTGTCTCGACTTTCTCTGTTGCTACTGATTAGCTTTCTGCTGGCCAGAATGTGAGCTTTGCCTTATTGTCAGCTTCCCTCTTCACGGAGATTCAAGCTCCTTCGTTTTAATTTCTCACAGGAATGCTTCTCCCGAGTGAGCTCTTGGGGTGATTACATGATTGCCTTCGGTGATGGTTCTCTCCTGTGTTCCCTTGCTACTATCCTCAGGTCTAAGTCCCCTGCACCTCAGTAAAAACGTCTCGAGACATTGCCACACATCCTGTTGGGGAGCTAAGGCTTCTCCTGGGGGAGTTAGCAACTTAGGTTTTCATTTGCCAAGTGAGCTGTGTAAGTATCTGGATGATCCTACTGGAGCGGCTGTGTTTCCTTTCTGATGTGTCCACCAGTCCAAAGGGCATCTGCTTGCTGGGTGAGGCTGTGAACTTCAGGGATATAACATCTACTGGGCGTAGCATGGTCCTCCCTACAGTTTCTATGTATTTAGCATGTTCTACATTTGGAGGCCCGAAGTAGTGTGTGTGTGGGAAATAGCCCATTTGGGGTGAATCCTAGAGTGTCATGCGCTAGGATTTGCCCCAAACTCTATGGTTATGCCACAGAGTTTTGCAAATCCTAGAGTCACGCTGGCATGGTGATGTCACTTCCCGGTGTTCACTGGCAGTGGCGTCGTGCAGTCAGCACATCATTCCCTCCCATCCCTGCCCCCTTCCTCTCCCACTGGTTGCTAGCCAATTGGCTGGCAACTCTACTATGGAGAGAGTGTAGGATATAGCTTTACTGGGGCAGTGCTAGGATTGGTGATGAGCTGGTTCCTGTCTTAGGTTGTAGCAGTAAGATTCTGAACGACCATAAAGCTGTCAAACGGGAAGCCTAATTTCCACATACGATGCAGGGTGTGGAGCTTTCTTGTTGTACTGGTGTGGTAGGTAATCAAGTGTGCAGTTAACCTTTTGTAGGGGTTCTCTAAGATGATGCTGACTACAGCCAGATCCCTGTACCAGCGTTATAAAGGATATACCATATTTCCTATCAGCACAGATTACTAGGGGGAATGGTGAGGATCTTGAATATTTCCCTGGATTTTTTCCCTTATATCTCTTTGTTACTGAGTTCAAGCTAGAAGTGTAACATTTGTTTTAGAAAATAAGTGGGGAAATCTGGGTGGGGGGAGGCTGGGATATCCCTGCAGGGGACAGGTCCTTGCACATCTCCCCCCACAAGGCAATGGCCTCGTTTCCCCAAAAAAACTATCGTCGTAGTTCCTTGTGAGAATGTTTCTGCATTAAGGACTTCCCAGCCCAACATAAATGTTCGATATTTAGCTGAACTTCACGCCCAACATTCTGCGTGGGGGTTTTTTTTGGTTTGTTTTAGGGCCTCTCTTTATATCCTAATTCCTCCCCCTCCCCAAAGTTTAGGTGTCTTTTAAAATAACGGTTACTTTCCCAGTAATTCTTTCCATATGTTTAGCATCTTCCTCTCTCCTTCGGCAGAGATCCCCAGAGCGGTAAAGCTACGTGGTTATTTTCTTCGGAAATATCATTGTTCCAAAAATTATAATATAGGAACAAATAGCATGCAGTTGGAAAGAGAGCCCTGCCAGAAACCTAGACCAGAAGGCATCATTCATTATTCTGGAGGACAAACACACTCACAAGAAGGAGAAGTTCTTTGCCCAAAAATATCAATTTTTGCACAAGCAACATTCGTGGTGTGACATATAGTTAAATGTAACATCGTAATCTCACTGGTCCTGACAAACCTTGGATTGAAAGTAGGATCTGGACAAGATTTCTCCCTGTCTTCCCCCCAACCCCCCGTCTTCAACTGGTGTGCTTCATTCTCCTGCACCCCACTGACGTTTATTGCTATTTATATTTTATATTGTGGGCACTTGTATTCAGCAGCTTTAAATCTTGACTGGAATACCAGATGTCCCACTGGAAACAGAACACCAGAAAGCAGATTGTGAATCTAAACAATACTTCTCATGGACTAAAAGAGGGGCAACTGCGTTTGTCTAATTTCACCCCATAGGAGGTGCGGTGGCTCAAGTGGTTAAGACGCTGAACTGCAGGCTGTGGAAAGCCGGTAGTTCAGCAGTTCGAGACCCGAGTGTGCCGCATGATGGAGTGAGCTCCCGTCTCTAATTCCAGCTCCTGCCAACCTAGCAGTTCGAAAGCAAGAAATTGCAAGTAGATAAATAGGTACCATTTCGGTGGGAAGGTAACAGTGTTCCGTGTGCCTTGGCGTCTAGTCATGCTGGCCACATGACCACGAAAATGTCTTCGGACAGCGCTGGCTCTTCGGCTTTGAAACGGGGATGAGCACCGCAACCCTAGAGTTGGACTCGACTGGCTTTCAAGGAAGGGAAACGTTACCTTTACCTTAATTTCACCCCCCCCAACATCCACTTCATCGTTTCTCTTCCTCCTTTGGGGAATCTTCAACAGGGACAGAGATTGATGCGATGTTCTTTCTCATTTTTCAGACTCAGAGCAGAGCACGGGGTCAGACACTGAAGTGCTGGCCGAGAGGACGTCTTGCTCGTTTGGCTCTCACCCTGACCTCCCGGCCGGTGGCTCCCTGCCGCAGCCGCCTCCTACCTCGTCCATGGAGGAGATCCAGGTGGAGCTGCAGTGTGCGGATCTTTGGAAGAGGTTCCACGATATTGGCACAGAAATGATCATCACTAAAGCAGGCAGGTAAGGTGGACGCCTCAGTGGAACGTCATGACTTTCCCTGCGCTGTGGCATTCCCGGAAGAGAAGGGCCTTCGTAGAATAGGGGGTTGTGTCGGCACAATTTCAGGGTCCTCAGATCTGAACTTGGATGTGGAAATTTCAGTCGGTCTCCGCAAAGCTCACTGGCCTTGAAGCTGTGGAATGCCTGGCAGAGCATTTTAGATCGGGACACCCGTAGGAAATACGAACCGCCTCCATCTGCGTTAAACTTTCTATATTTCATCACTTAGCTCGAGCTATAGCTGTACCCGAGCAGCTGCTGACATCTGGGTAATGTTTAATTTAGTTTTCTGAAAAGTGATGTTTTTTTAAAAAAATCCTGGTGTCTCTTCAAATTTTCATTAGCTTTGGTGCCGCACGACTGGCTGGCATGAGGCTTTTTTAGCAGTGATTTCAACGTATTTTTCAGTAATTAGCTATGAGGTGCCAATATATTTTTCAAAAAACACATTTGGGCCATCTGGAAACTTACCCAGATCCACAACTTCATTGAAAATGCACAACTGAGTTTTGGGGAGGCAAGAAGACTCTTCTGAGCCACAACAGTGACAGAATTCTTTCTTTCTTTCTTTCTTTCTTTCTTTCTTTCTTTCTTTCTTTCTTTCTTTCTTTCTCTCTCTCTCTCTC